GCTGGTTCCAAAGTCCATCTCTGCAGCCCCCATGTTCAGATGTCAGACTTCACAGCAGAAATAAATGTTTGCAGCATGGTGCAATAAATGCTTTTGATTGATTGCAAATTTTCCTGTTCACAGAGACTGTACAGGAAGTGATTTTTTATAACTCACCCATTCAAATTGGATTGCTGCTTAGAGCTCTGCAAAATGAAGGGCACTGCCACATTGAGTGGCAGGTGGTTACCATCGTATCACGTACCACCATGTCCATTGCTTATAAGGCCCAGAGATGTTTACATGACCTGTCTCCACTACACTCTGGCTCCACTTCTCTACTCATTTTTAGATGTGCCACAGTTAGGAGGATGTACCACTGACCTGTCATTCCAAATTCTATACTTTTCTTTTTACTTTCAGAATGTACTGCAGCCACCCTCACAAAGTACATATCGTTGCATGCAGTGTGCATACAACTGGGACATACTATTGTGTCATAAAACAAACAAAATAAAGAGACAAGCAGGTCTGTCTCACTGCACAATCCAAAATCCTTTGCAAAACTAGAAATTTTCTGTGTCGTAGGTCATTACTTGGTGGTTGTTGTTTCTCGTAGTGAAGGGTATTTTGGGAATAGCAGCATGTAGATAGTGGAAAGGGAGGAGAAAGCCTTATGAAATGTGTAGCCAATAGAAAGATTTTGCTGCAAATTACATCTTGCAAATGAGACTATGAGTCTGTAGAATTTCAGTCACTAGATTCAAATGACTTTGCAGATGCTCTATTTTACTACACGGACACATAATCAAAGGTAACTACTCAGTAAGATGCGCTAACTCTGAGGGGTCAAGGTAAAGAAAAACTAGAAAAGTTGTATAGGATAGAATAGGATAGAATTATTTTTATTGATCTCCCATTTGGGGAAATTTACAGCAGCATCCAAAAAATATAGAAAGAAAGTACAAGGAAATAATAATAATTAAGTAATAAAATAAGTACGTACACAAGATGACAAAAATATACTGTTGAATGAAAAAATGTATATTTACACTGAAAAAGAAAACAGATTGTGCAAATTTGCTGTGCAAAGTGAATTATGACCATGTGTTAGTTTTGTCTGTTTGGTTAACATCAGCTTGTAATGCTGTTGCTGTACAGTCTTATAGCAGTTGGTAGGAATGACCTGCAGTAGTGCTCCTTCTTGCAGAGAGCATGTTTAAGTCTGCAGTTGAAGGAGCTACTTAAAGCCTCCATAGTGTCATGCAGCAGGTGAGAGGGGTTGTCCATGATGGATGTGAGCTTTGCTAACATCCTCCTCTCACCCACCTCCTCTATGGAGTCCAGCGAGCAGCCCAGGACAGAACCAGTCTGTTCAGTCTCTTTCTGTCCCTGTTTGTGCTCCCTCCTCCCCAGCAGACCACTGCATAGAAAACAGCAGACGCCACCACGGTGTCATTAAATGTCCTGTGCAGAGTCCTGCAAACTCCAAAGGACCTCAGTCTCCTCAGCAGGGGGAGACGACTTTGGCCCTTCTTGTATATAAAGCAATCTTGCACAAGATTATAATTTTGCTAAGGTAAGCCTTTACTTTGGTTTAATTTAGGATATAGTGCATTTTAATTTTTGCTTCAGTTCACAAGTGTGGCATTTGAACTGACCACAGGATCTCCTGATCCAACAATGGAGACACCGATGAGCGACTCTTCAGGGCAAACATGAAGCCTGGAGGTGTCTTATTGAGACAAAAATGTATCCTGGGTAGCAGTGGGTAGTTGCTGCATTATCTTAATAGCAGCTTGGGTAATCTATCTTCATGTTTGAATGAATTGTACTCTGCTGGCTCAGGATGGTTAAAAATTCAAAACTTTGCCCTACAAGGACTCTCTTACACACATCAGCAGCCCTCTGTGTTGTACTACTGTAGATGTTCTACATCAAAATATTCCCTATGAAGTGCTATTGTATCAGTGTTGACAAATACATAGGGACCATTACATTGACATTCTTAATAATTTATCATTTTAAATATGCAGTTTAAGTTTTAAACAGCCATACTTTGGCATTTATGCTGGTGGGTTCTCCTCCTTAGAGTGATTAAATGGTGATAAGGTTATGTGTGTCTTGTTATACTGTTCTAATGTTCTGAACAGCTGGTCTGGGAACTGAATGTGTGATGGCTGTAACCACTCAGCCAAAAGGTAGCTGCTGCCATGATGCTTCTGAACGTACTGATTGTACAGTGCTGGTGTTGCGGGTTCAAGGTAGTTCAAGGTATCCGACAATGAGTCACGCAGATGTAATGTACCTCCCCACTGTGCCATTTATTAATGCCTCCTGGAATTCTGCTGTGATTGTGATGGTTGAATCAGACCAGCAGCACCTCCAAAAGGGCTCCTGTGCGTAAAATTCCCTCTAGCTGGGCTATAGCCATGAGTTACATGTTGCCATAGTAGCTTATGCTGGGCATTTTTTCACTTAGCATGTTTTAGCTGATAAAAAACAAAACAAAACAATGCAAACATGCACTGAGGGCCTAATTTTCATTTTTTAAACTAAAAAAAAGAAAGAAAGAAAATGATAGCAGATGGGTGGGACAGAGTGCCACAGAGACAGTAGTTATAAAAACTCAGGGAGAAGAGACTCTATTATAACCATAAAATGAGGGAGCACTGAGTGCCAAGGTCACTTACCACTCACCCTGCAGCTTTTGGCTGACAATATTTCTCGGACAATTCAGATGCTCTATCAGGACCAATTCAATAGCATCTGAAGCAGCACAATCTATCAGGCGAACTGTGGACTCAGCAGGGAGAGCGTCCATTTCTCATGGAGTCACTCAGAGTACTCTGGGTGATTTAAGATCAACCACAGTGCCTGCTGATGCAGTGCAAGCCCACTGAAGACATTATTTTAGGATGCCTCTTAATCACAAGGTCCATCGAAAGAAGAATGCATTTATGCATCCACTCCGAAACAAACAAATAAATCACCAGAATACAGATGTATATGATGTCACACTTTATTCTCACTGCAAAAACCTTTGATGCCCTTTGTAGGTTTTGGCTTCATACTGACAGACGAGTGTGTTTCTTGTTGTTTTTCTGCATGATGTACAGTATAAAATAGTGCACCTATATGCCTTTGCTGTGTTAAATATCTGTGTAAAATGGGGGCTCTATATGAATGTCACCTTTGATTTGAAGACATTGAGAGAACAACTGTGTTAAAGCGGTGCTAAAAATATGACAATTGTGTTTTCTGCAGTTTGTGAGGAAAAATATACCAAAATACATAATTTACCCAAGGATGAAATACTATCCCTAAAAGAATATAAAATTGGGGATTTGTAGAATTTTTCTTGTTCATCTGAACTTGTTGAACCAGACACTTTTTTATTTTAAAGTTTCACATCTTTATTGAATACTGGGATGCATAAAACAAACAAAAATGTTGTCACTTTTTTTTTTTTTTTTTGCATTATTGGCATGCAGGTTTTGGTAATTGGTAATTGGAACATCAAAATAAATGCTCATTACATAAGCAGCAAAAGTTCTGTTGGCTGTAGAAGATCTCTGTGAGCTTGACAACATAGGAATCTGTTGACAGATATTGTGTCTCCAACTGTGACCTTCTGACTGCTGTTAGTCTGTCATCTTATTGAGTTAGTGACTTAAGGTCATTTTAGTCTTGATCTCACTGCAGATTTCCATCATGAATAGCACCATTAAAATAAGTTATGAGCATTAATATTCAGTCAGGTAGTTTGAGAAATAGATTTGTTTAGAAGTTTTGAAGATGCCAAAACAGTCTACTAATTATAATCTAAGATCAATGAATGAACATGGCCAAATGTAAACGTCAGACAAAGACGATGCTTTCCTTTCCTTTTTTTTATCTTTTTCCTGAAGACCAAATTGATTGGTTTTGTGTTTCAGTTCTACATTGTTTTGTGATGGCAATGAATTAAAGCTACAATCAAAGTGTCAAATATACATAAAGGAACAGTTTTCTTCCTGAATATCTACACCCAGATTTTTATGTGTCCAGTATTTAGATTTTTGACCAAATACTGTTGGCAATTCTAACATGAAAACTAAGATGGTGAATAGAGTTCAGATTCCTGCTGTAATCATCCATCCATCGCTACACCGCTCAATCCTTACTAGGGTCGTCGGGGGGCTGGATCCTATCCCAGCTGACTCAGGGTGAAGGCAGGGGACACCCTGGACAGGTCACCAGTATATCACAGGGCTACACTTAGAGGCAGACAACCATCACACTCACATTCACACCGATGGACAATTTAGAATCACCAATTAACCTCAACATGTTTTTGGACTGTGGGAGGAAGCTGGAGAACCTGTAGAGAACCCACGCTGCACGGGGAGAACATGCAAATTCCACACAGAAAGATCCCGGACATCCTAACCGGGACGAACCGGAGATCTTCTAGCTGTGAGTCGACGGTACTAACCACCGAGCCACCTTTCAGCCTCCTGCTATAATCAGCTTATCCATTATGTCTTTGTGTGTTTGTTGGCATAATATTTAGCTTAAAGCACTGCTGTACATATTAGTCGACCAGAGGAGCAAGAATACTGTTATTGTTCTTTTTCTTTGACGGAATAATCAAAGGATAGAAATCTAAACAGGCAAAAATATTCTTTATTATTTTGCTTTTGTGAAGGTTGTTTTTAAAAATGACATAAGGCCTTACCGGCTGAGGACCATTTAATGTGTTTATTTAAACAAGATCCAACCAGTGAAGCTGTGTTAATCCCTATAAAAACCAGAGACAACGAACCATGTTGGAACAGTAGGTTTGCCTGTGGAGTCCTCCCTTCAGAGGTTTATTTAGGCCTAGCAGTGTGGACCCCAACCTAAAATCCTCCTGCAGACACACCTGCAGAGGAGAGTATAAAGACCCTGCACTGAACTGAGTCAGACATTGAGCTTCAAGGAGTCTCTCCACAGCAGCTCTTGACAGAAGCTCCACAGCCTCCAGACCGACCCTGAAGATGACTCCCTCTACCAGCCTGCTGCTGCTGCTCCTGCTCGGCCTCTCTCGGGCATTTCCTGTGGAAGAGGAAGGAGCCCCAGAAGGAGAAGAAGAAGTAGAAGAAGTAGAAGAAGTAGAAGAAGTAGAAGAAGAAGAAGACACCGTCGACATGACCACCAGGATTCTGACCACCAACAACGGCTCCAGTGAGAACCTGCTGGAAGGAGACCTGCTGGCTCCCACAACCAGAAACGCCATGAAGTGCTGGTCCCAGAGGTGCTTGTGGAAGAAAGTCAGGGGTACGGTGATGGTCCCCTACGTGGTGAGCAACCAGTTCAGTCGGTATCAGAAGAACATGGTCACAAAAGCCATGAAGGCTTTCGAAAGCACGACCTGCATCCGCTTCAAGGTGCGTTCCAACGAGTACGACTTCATCAGCATTGAGAACCGAGCTGGATGTTTCTCCTCTCTGGGCAGAACGGGACCTGAAGAGGTTCGCCATGTTCAACGTGATGGCGGCACACATGCAGGCAGCGGCCCCTTCAGGAGACAGTGAGAGTGAACGTCTAGTGTCTTGTTTATCCCAGACGTGCATTCTGCAAAACTTGCCAATTAAATGATCCTGAAGAAACGCTCTCTCATCTTGCCTGTACTACTGTGTATGTACAGGAGAAGGGTAAGTGAAACAGTCAGTTTCTATGTGTCTTCAGTAAATGTTATGTCAATTGATTGCATTGTCATTTTTATATAAATGTATGTGTAGCTATCGAAAACTATACAAACAACAAATCCAAGCAGGGACTCACAAACCCCTACTTGTCCCTGTATCTGATGCTGGAAGTTGCTGTAATGTAATAGCAACACTTGCCTCTAAGACTGGCATCTGAATAACTGCTCCCTTTTTAGCTCCACAATGAAACAGGTGTTAGGATCCTATATCCCAGTGGGGGTGTGACGTGAGTGGGTGGGTGAGGGTGGGTGGCTTCATCTGCTGTTTCAAAGTGAGTGACAATAAATATCAGCTTGATAGACAATGTCCATGAAAAAGTGGTTGACTGTCTCATATTGCTGAATTTGGGGTTTTCTTTGGTTCCCAAAGCTTGGATGAGCTGAGGTCGTAACAGATTTTTTTTGCCCTTTACCCCAGTGAGAGGAAGCCTTTACATGTTCATCCCATCTGTTTTTCATCTTCCTGTGGTATCTCTCACCCCGGCCGCCTGCCTGCCAACTATCTCTGCCATGAAGTGGGGATATTTCCCTACAGGCTCTGTAATGTATAAGGATTGCCCTTTTCAACACACGAAAGACTGACCACTTCTTCTCTACTGTGCTACAAATGCGTGAATCTTACAGAAAATATCTGTAAACCAGCCATTGTTTGTGTCACAGTAGAACCTGTTAGGATTAAACAATAAAGCATATGCTCACAGAGGAAAAAATGTTTATTTTCATACAGAAATACTGTATTCAATACAGAAATTCATTCTAATAATCACAGAAAATGTATGACATAAGACTATGTTCTATGTTTAAAAAAATATTTAAAAATACATAATAAAACATAGGCTAGTAAAATTATTCTGTTATACTGAAATGCTTGAAATAACAAAGAACGCAGAAATACTTGCTGTCACAATGCCTTACAAACATTTACATGTGGTCTATTCAAATCTCATCGGATTTCCTTTCATTTTCATTTTAGCATCTTTTAATCTACTGGGCTAAGTTTCTGAAATGTGAATATCAATGCCTGTATACCTGTATTTGATTTGGCCAACTGGAGGTCACTGTAAATAACGTGAGAAATGATTCAATCCAATTCAGTTCAGTTAGGGGTGGAGATTATATTCAGGTGTTTTATTTGAGGAAAAGTACAGTTGCAACAGTGTCAAAATATTCCACTACAAACATAAGTCACATAAGCACCACTCAAGATAGAGATGCGTCCATTGTGAGTTCAACACATTTGTATTAACAGCATTTGCCCAAATCAGTAATTTTGAAGAAAAGCAGGAATAAGAAGGGCATGTCTTACTGGCACAGAAATAAGAATCATGTTGTAAATGACAAAAATGCAAACAAACCAATAAATGTTTTACATTTTATATTCACCAACATAGAATAGAAGAATAGAATAGAACTTTATTGATCCCTTTGGTGGAAACATATCCTCCATTTGATTTGATAACAGCTTTAACTCTTCATTCTCTCACCCAGCTTTATGAAGTCCTCACCTGGACCTTTTCCTACAGACTTGAAGGAGTTCTTACATATGCTGAGCACCTGTTGGCTGCCTTGTCAGCTCATCCCAATCCATCTCCACTGGGCTCAGGTTGGGTGATTGTGGAGGCCGAGTGATGCAATGCAGCTCTCCATCATTTTGCTTCTTAATTAAATAACTGTTAGAAATTCTGCCTTGGCCATTGCCCAACATGTGATGGTGTGTTGCTGCACACTGTTGTGACAGCCATGTTGGCTAAGGGTTGCCTTAAATTCTGAGTCAATTGCCAATGTTGTCACCAGAAAAGGCTCCATCACAACTCCTCCAATTCTTCACAGTGGGAACTACACATGCAGATACCATCTGTTCACCTCTCTGTGTTTCACAAAGACACAGTAGTTGGAACCAGGAATCTTAAAGTTGAACTCATCTGATCCCAAGTCCAGGTTTCTTTGCAACAGTTCAACCATGGTCTGATGCACATAGTCTCCTGCCAACAGCTGATTTTGAGATGTGTTTGGTACTTGAACTGTAGCAAGAATAGATGTGAGCTCTAGTCTGAGATTGCTGACTCTAATGTCTAATAATCAAAACAGAGAAGAGAGGAGCTTGAATGACAACATACACCTTCTCTGCTGAGGACACCATTACTCTTCATATAGGAAATTATAATTTTTTGCTTTTTATTGCTATTTTGAAGTTTAAAATCTCATATATTTCACCTTTAAAGAAACTTTAAAGTTCTTGAATTTTTCAGTTTCTCAAAATAATGTTATTTCTCTTTACTTGTAACGGTTCTTGCCGTAAAATGGGAAACTACAGTGGAAGAATAGTGCTATTTGCTATAAACCAACACTACTTTGGCACAACACAGCTGTTGCTCTGAACACATTAAGAAAGAAAGAAATTCTACCAGATTATTGAATGGGCTGCCTTGTTAGCAGTCAACCATTCCAGGTGGCAGACTCAGGAAGCTGGTTAAGATACTGTTGTCAAGCAAACAGTGGCTACTCTGAGAAAAATAAAATACGAACCTTACCCTGATTTGCTTATGCTAGCTTCTTTACTACATAATGTTGAATGTGTTTGGTTTTGTTCTACGTTGTTTAAAAAAGTAAATTTGAAGAAAAACTGCAATGAGAACCTATGACCAAATGTCTGAACGTTACTGAATATACCTCGAAAATGGTGCTCACTGTAAGCACAGTACTTCAGCAAAACACCACTAAATTGGCAAACTATGAAAGAATAAAAGTTTAGATGTATAAAGCAAGACCAGCATTACATAGAATAAATATAGTAAAAAGGTAATCTCAAATATTCAGCACAGTGCATATAGTTTGAAATGTAATAAACTTATATTTTGATTTATCAAACAATAGGTGCAGATAATTAAATGATGGTTGAACGTTATTCAGCTGCTTCAGTTTCAGACCCTACTGATGTGCTTGTTGTTGCACAGAGCCTGCACTAATGTTAACACTAACAATTGTGATTGTGTTTCTATTAATAGACCATGTCATAATTTCCTGTGAAGACGGCCTGCAGTATTTAACCTCGGGGCTATTTTGATAGAAATACTAGATTGTTTGTGGACCTCATGCCACTAGGTGGCAGCAAATCCTAATAATCTGTCCGTGGTATGTGCGTACTGAACCTCCTTTCAGCTGCTGACTGTGTTGCCATTCATGTGTATTGTCTGCATTCATGTTTTTTCACTTCTGTGGTTGCTAAAAAAAAAAAAAGTGTCTGCTTTTCTACACTGTTGTCACTGAGATCATCCATCCATCCATCCATTATCTATACACCACTTAATCCTCACTATGGTCATGGGGGCCTGGAGCCTATCCCAGCTGACTCAGGGCGAAGGCAGGGGACACCCTGGACAAGTCACCAGTCTATCACAGGGCTACACTTAGAGACAGACAACCAAGCACACACACATTCACACCGATGGACAATTTAGAATCACCAATAAACCTCAACATGTTTTTGGACAGTGGGAGGAAGCCGGAGAACCCGGAGAGAACCCATGCTGCAAGGGGAGAACATGGAGACTCCACACAGAAAGATCCCAGGCGTTCTCACCGGGATGCGAACCCACTGAGATCGTTAAAGTTTACATTTCTTTGTCATGTCCTGGTGTGGAGATGACTGGAGGCCACAGGTTCAGATTAAGGATGGAAATGACAAGCTCCTCCCTCTCATCCTTCAACATCTGCTATGTTGTAATAAAATATATTGTATGTGACTTGTCATTAGTAAATTTTTTACTGATGAGCTCCTCGATTTCACTCTGCTTACATCTCTGGAGGCATGCATGTTTCACACATCAAGCCAGTTTAAGTCTCCATAACTGACATATCCGCCATGTGACCTTTAGCATGTAAACCTCACTCTGAATGTTCAGATCTCCACATTTGACAGGAAAAATATCCTGCTCCAAAAACCTTCTGTTTTTTAGAGCTTGTCTTTGTGTTTTCAAAGCTGACATTTTATATAACATGGTATAGCATCCATCTCCTCATTTTCATTTGCATTCCTACGCAGCCCTTTAATCATGTACTTATTCACTGGGACTCTTTTGTAACATCCTGTGCACATGGTTCCAACTTACCACGTGTACTTCAAATCCCAAACAAAGCGTCCACAGCGATAGCACCCCATTGTTAACAATATGGATATAGCAGCTTGAAGAGCCCCACTATAATGCCTCTAAGTCTATAATGTCTAGACAAGTCACTGCAAAAATGTGCATGCGTAAATGCATAAAATTTACTTAATCAGCAATACGAATGCTAAATGTATATATTTCAAAAAGGTGCTGTAGTTTTACAGGTGAGATCAAACTGAGAAGATCAAGGTCACATCGGAATTATTATCAGTTATTCATGATTATTATTAATCTATGTCTATTTAAAGCCATGTTTACAGTTGTTTTGCTGGATATCACTAGTACTACTATTGTGAACATGTTTTTCATTACACAAGAGATCATGATTTCTGGAAGACAATGGATTCCTAAAGCAACATAATAAATCTTCTTGCTGGCAGCTCTATAAGGCCTTTTAGCAGAACATTATGTTGGGATGATAGAAATTAAGGATTACTTTTGGAATTTATATTGTTCTATGGCATCTTATCTTATCCTAAATGTTTTATACAAATACTAGTATATCCATGTATACAGTAAGCAAGGTGGCGCGGTGGTTAGCACCGTCAACTCACAGCGAGAAGATCCCCGTGTTGCGTCCCGGTTAGGATGCTTGGAATCTTTCTGTGTGGAGTTTACATGTTCTCCCTGTGCAGTGTGGGTTCTCTCCGGGTTCTCCAGCTTCCTCCCACACAGTCCAAAAACATGTTGAGGTTAATTGGTGATTCTAAATTGTCCATAGGTGTGAATGTGAGTGTGCTTGGTTGTCTGTCTCTAAGTGTAGCCCTGCGATAGACTGGCGACCTGTCCAGGGTGTCCCCTGCCTTCACCCTAAGTCAGCTAAAATAGGCTCCAGCCCCCCCACGACCCAAGTGAGGATTAAGCGGTGTATAGATAATGGATGGATGGACGATAAGCAATGTAAGTGCATGTATGCATCTATATGTATAGTGTATATTTTTTTTACAGCTGCTATTGTTGAGCTTTTTTCTTTTTATTTATCATCCCTTGTTCCTGTGAGGCTTCAGTCAATATAGATTCCATGATTGTAACGTGAAAAAGTCACAAGCCAAAAAAGAATTTTAACTCCACTCATCTCTATGGAGTTTTTCAGCATCTTTTAATGTGTTTTTCCATGTGGTACTCACAGTTTTCATCAACATGGTTTCCAACTGTTTTTAGATGAACAATATCTGATAAACTCAATGATAACTCACAGCATAAATACTGGACAGAAAATATAAAGCTGTATGCAGACATTCCCAGATAGACCTGCACTGATGCTGTGGATTTGGAGAGATGACAATATGTATGTCATGACCCTTGTGTGATCATGAATGAATGTATGAAAGGCCAAGTCATAGTTTCGTCATCCTTGTAAGCAGATTGATGAAAACTTACTGAAATAAACATGCAAAAAAACTGAACATGGAAAACAGCACTCCCTTGGATGTTTCTGGAAGGCTGAGACTTGGCACTTCTTAAAGGATTAACATGTAGTTGTAGACAGGTATATAAAGCTGTGTCCACGATCATTCCTGAAGTGTGCTGCACAAAGTGGACAGACAGCACAGGATTTCTGGAAAATTTAGAATTTCCTGCAGACACTATGGACATGTAGTTGTTAATCTACTCTTCAGTTTGCTTAGAGTACTGTGTGATTTGCAGTTGAAACCAGAAGTTTACATACACTGTATAAAAAGACATATTTTTTTCTCACTGTCTGACATTAAATGTGACCAAACTTTTCCTCTTTTAGGTCAGTTAGGATTACCAAAATTATTTCTGTTTGCTAAATGCCAGAATAATGTGAGAAAGAATGTTTTATTATTTTCTTCAAAGTCAGAAGTCTACATACACTAAGATTACTATGCATTCAAATTAATTGGGAAAGACCAGATGATGATGTCATGGCTTTGGAAGCTTTTGATTTTGATTAACATTTGAGTTAATTGGAGGCACACCTTTGGATGTATTTTAAGGCACACCTAAAAAAAACACTGCTTCAATTTATAACAACATGGAAAATCTAAAGAAATCAGCCAAGACATCAGGAAGAGGATTGTGGACCTCCACAAGTCTGGTTCATCCTTGGGTAGAGTGTCCAAATGCCTGAAGATTCCACGTTCATCTCTTCAAACAATTATACTCAAGTATAAACACCATGGGAATGTCCAGCCATCATAGCGCTCAGGAAGGAGACGGGTTCTGTGTCCCAGAGATGAAGTGTTTTGGTGAGAAATGTGCATATCAACCTCAGAACAAAAGCTAAAGGCCTTGTGGAGATGCTGCTGAAGCTGGTAAGAGAGAGTCATTATCCACAGTGAAGCCAGTCCTGTACCGACATGGGCTGAAAGGATACTCAGAGAGGAAGAAGACATTACTCCAGAAGAAACAAAAAAACAGATTACAGTTTGTAAATGCACAAAGGGACAAAGTCCTTCATTTGTGGAGACATGTCCTGTTGTCTGATGAAAATAAAAT